TGCGAGCCTGGCGCAAGCACACGAGTGGAGGAGGAGACACCACGACGCTCCACGGAGTAAACTGCACCCAGTTGGTTTCTACCCCCGTGAGGGGCGTTACAGGGTAGTAGTAGTAGTAGTAGTAGTAGTAGTAGTAGTAGTAGTAGTAGTAGTAGTAGTAGTAGTAGTAATAGTCGTAGTGGTGGTGGTGGTGGTGGTGGTGTGGTGGTGGGGTAGTAATAGTAGAAGTAGTCGTACAGGAGGAGTAGGAGTAGGGTAGGGTAGGAGTAGGAGTAGGAGTATAGGAGTAGTAGTAGTGGTAGTAGTAAGTAGTAGTAGTAAGTAGTAGTAGCTCGTAGTAGTCGTAGTAATGTAATGTGTAGTGTTAGTAGTAGTCGTAGTAGTGTCGTCAGTTAGATAGTAGTAGTAGTAGCCGTGTAGTATATAGTAGTAGTAGTATAGTAGTAGTAGTTAGTAGTAGTAAGTAGTAGTAGTAGTAGTAGTAGTAATAGTAATCCTCGTCGTCGTATTAGTAGTGGTAGTAGTAGTAGTAGTAGTAGTAGCAGCAGTAATAGTAGTAGTAGTAGTAGTAGTAGTAGTAGTAGTAGTAGTAGTAGTAATGGTAGTAGTAGTAGTAATAGTAGTAGTAGTAGTAGTAGTAGTAGTAGTAGTAATAGTAATAGTAATAGTAATAGTAATAGTAATAGTAGTAATCGTAGTAGTAGTCGTACAAGCAGTAGTAGTAGTAGCAGCAGCAACAGTAGTAGTCGTAGTTGTTGTTGTAGTAGTTGTAGCAGTAGTGGTAGTAGTAGTAATACTAGTTGTACTAGTAGTAGGAGTAGTAGTAGTGGTCGTCGTCGTCGTCGTGGTAGTAGTAGTAGTAGTACTAGTAATAGTACTAGTAGTAGTAGTAGTAGTAGTAGTAGTAGTAGTAGTAGTAGTAGTAGTAGTAGTAGTAGTAGTAGTAGTAGTAGTAGTAGTAGTAGGTGTTGCTGTAGCGGTAGCAGTCGCAGTAGCAGGAGGAGCCAAAGGAGTGTAGAGCAGCCTGCGATGACAGCATGATGAAGTTGAAGTGTCGGGGCAGGCAGAGACCAGGGAGCACCTGCAGACACAGGCGGAGAGGACCGAGTGGAGGATATCTATATATATATAATCTAGAGAGAAAGAGAGAGAGAGAGAGAGAGAGAGAAAACAAAAAAAAAGACAGAGAGCGAGAGAGAGAGAGAGAGACAGAGGGAGACAGAGACAGAGACAGGGGAGTTTGGGCGGGCAGAATAAATCAGAATGAGCAGACGGGAGAAGACAGGAAGTGTTGTGAAAGCAGCGCCAAACATGAAATCCTGGTCGTTCTCCTCCTCCTCCTCCTCCTCATCGTCGTCCTCGTGGTCATCCTCTGTCTTCTCCTGTTCGCCGCAATGCGAATGGACGGGCGGGCCCAAACTTGCGGGTCGGGTCGGGCGGGCGGACCCTAACGGGCGGGTCGGGTCGGGCGGGCGGGACATTAAAGTATGTTGCGCAATGCGAATGGACGGGCGGGCCCTAACGGGCGGGTCGGGTCGGGCGGGCGGACCCTAGCAGGCGGGTCGGGTCGGGCGGGCGGGGCATTAAAGTATGTTGCGTAATCGAGTGGGCGCGCGAGTGCCCGAACGGGCGGGGCTGGTCGGGTCTGACGGGCGGACCCTGACGGGCGGGTCGGGTCGGGCGGGCGGCCCCTAGCGGGCGGGTCGTATCGGCCGGACGGGGCATTAAAGTATATTGCGTAATCGAATGGGCACGCGAGTGCCCTAACGGGCGGGGCGGGTCGGGTCGGGCGGGCGGACCCTAACGGGCGGGTCGGGTCGGGCGGGCAGACCCTAACGGGCGGATCGGGTCGGGCGGGCGGGACATTAAAGTATGTTGCGTAATTGGGTGGGCGCGCGAGTGCCCGAACGGGCGGGGCGGGTCGGGTCGGGCGGGCGGGCCCTAACGGGCGGGTCGGGTCGGGCGGGCGGGCCCTAACGGGCGGGTCGGGTCGGGCGGGGGGGGAGGTCTTGCACTGAAGCGGTTGCGTGCTAGGGTCCGGCATGCGCCCGCATCTTGCAGAGATCAGTCATGACTTTCCAGCGTTTGCGTCTCTTCCCCTTCCTTGTTTCCCCTTCCTTCTGCCCCTGCCCCCGCCCTGAGCCTCGTGTTGCATGACTTCTGTATGCTATTGCTGTGCTTGTGTATGCTTCTTCCGCAGCTGTTTTCTGCGCCATCGCAGTGCAACGTTCCCCAAGACAGGTTGTAAACCGGGGCCGCACCATGGCCATAGCAGCAAGTGCTCAAATCGCGAGTGCGGGCCTGAACGTTCGCAGCTGGATGTAAAAATGTCGCCCCGCTCTGCACGGGGAGCTGGAGAGAGCAGGCATGACGGCATCATCAGCAGTGTTATGCATGCTTATCTACCCACGTACTTGTCGGGGTGCCGGCGCCGTTCACGGAATAGGGATCTCGACCCTATGAGCCGCAGGCGCCGCAACGAAGAGGACACTTCACCGTCTTCTACGTCTTCCATATCTTTGTTGCCTTCCATAAGTTCATCATCTTTGTCAAACTTATCATTAGCTTCATCCCTTACGTCATTACGTGTTTACTTGATGGTGCTGTGTAATCGTATGTTTCACGTGCCCCAGAATGAACATCCACCCAGAACTACGACTGTAAGTACTAGCACATCGAGAACACCAACACAATTATCTACATCATACGATCGTATATTACGTGATTTCTCTATACCGCATAATTTTACGACAGTTGGAAACAAACAGTTTGAACGATATATGGAAACATCTCTGGCGAAATTGGGTTGGCTAGGAACGCATGTTCCACTGGAGTGCCGCGCAAGAATTGTCAAGCATGGTGCTGGGCATTGGAAGTCCGAAATCCTGAACAATCTCATGTTGACGGTATGGTGGCAGCTGGCCGTAGACGCGCCGAACCGTAGATTGTATGATTGCCTGTGCATGATGCAAAGAGTTCTTCTCAAACGACACATTTCGCGCTTCGGGTCGAAAGCAGAATCGGTCGAGGTCCTCGTGCTTGTCACGGTGTCCCTCACGCTCGTGCGTGCCAGGATGGAGTGGCAAAGGAACGTTACCAGTGTCAGAAGAGCCCATGGTTTTTGTAAAGGGTTGCATACACGTTACGTTCATGCCTTATGTAGAGCGGGGGTTGCAGACAGTGAACATGCGCGTTCTTTATACACACTTTTGGAATTACAGTGTTTATGTTCATTGGTACCTGCTAGCGCAAACACACCATGTGAAACCCAACATATCTACCAAATGGGGTTCTGTGGAAGGTACATCGGCCGGGGCCTTCTCCAGCGATCTTTTGGGAGGCTTTGGGGTGGTTCTGCTCGTTTTAAAGAACACGTAGCTTCATGGAATCGCGTCAAAATGGGGAAAACGAACATTGCTGAGCGGGACCGATATCGGGAAGTACTCAAAAAGGATGGGGAGAACGTATTCTTTTTCGTGTCCCTCCGCACCGTGCCATCGGCGAAAGCTGCGCCCACTGAGTCTGCCATGATAGCGATGTACAAGCCGAGTGCGAACTTCATACGCCAGCGTGATGTTGACCGCGCCCGTCCCGCCCAGCAGCGTGCACGACCACGCGCACGCCTACCTAGCCGGCTTCGCCGAAAACCCGATGCCCTCAGAGATGTTGCAAAAAACGCTTTGAGTGATAGGCGAGAGCGCCTACTTGCAAAGAATGTCGAAGTGGAAACCCGCCATTTATTGTTTGTTGAGAGGCACCGTGCACGTCAACAGGTCCTCAGACTGAACTTCGCGAGGGTCTACGACAACGCACTGGAGATCTTCACACAACCTACTGGTCTTCGTGGGCCCATCCATATATATATATATATATGGCCGAGGCTACATATTGATTTTGATGAAGTACGCCGCATGCAAACCTGATGAAGTCGTGTGGCAATGGATGCTTCGATCCAGGGGAGTGGGACCAGATTTCTGCTACCAAGCCTGGGATACTTGCAAGGCCCTCCCAAACTATCATGACGGATCGCGGGCTCGGCATTCACTAAAACTGTTCATGGAAATGGTTGCGCCTCCAATTCCACAGACGATCTGCATTCAAACACCCTCGCACAGCCAGCACGCTGTGGTCCGGAAGTGGTTACATGGTGTCGTTGAAACTTACCATAAAGATTGGCCAACTTGGGCAAAACAAGTGTTGTCACGCACGCGCCTCCTCACAAAACCGCTACCGCCGTACAGGAGGAAGTTCGTGAACGTGCAACAGGTGGTGAAGCAGTTCGAACTTTCGTCGCTGACTCTACTCGGACCTGACGAACTGGATGTAGCTGCCAGAGGCATAGACATGCACCGTCTACCTTTGCATGCGAAGTTGACTGGACAGGTGGATGCGGCAGATGCGCGGAAAGATACGGTGACCTCTTGCCGCAAGTGGTTGAAATCTCTACGTGTGAACCCACTTCACTTGCACCACCTCGTCCTCGGAGAGTGCCGACACGATGATCTACCAGGGCAAAAGTACAGCGATTGCTTGGAGGTCGTATCGGAAAGCATGAAAAACATCAAGGCTACCTCCGCTGTGGTGCCAAAGGACAAAGACATAAACACCATGTGGACCGCAGATCGCGTCTACTTCGTTGCCCGGTGGTTGCATATACTTTCAAAGTCTTCAAACAGATGGTGTCTTTCCTTTCAGCCCTTGCAAGAAGTGTTAAAATTATATAACTCAATACTTGTTTCTATGGTACCGCAACGCTTAAAAGGGAAATCAAACACCAAGGTCGATGCGGACAGCTTGCCGTACGCATACCCTACGATCAAGCTGAAATGCTGGAGCGGGGCGGAGCCGTGCCCACCCTTAGGGAGGCACGTCTGTTCCAAGAAAGGTCACGCATGCATGCGGAACGTCGTCTCTTTCTGCCGCTTCCCTTATCGTCGCCTACTGCGGTTGTACGGTAGAGCTTCTTCTTTTCTCGTCCGCAAGTTTACCCCTGGATGGGCCTTCACACATATGAATGTTGCAATTGACGAACTGAAGAGCCGAGTCAACGAACTCGAGCAACCTCGGCCTGGTACCCGCCCGTGCTGTATACGATGTGGAGAGTATATGGCACACCCCACCCTCCTCATCAGCGACGCGGCGCAAGCCTACGAAGAGCTCGATGATACAAATATTCGGGAATGTGTATCTTCCTTGTGCCGTGATGCTGCCAGAGCCAGCGGGAGGACCAGCGTCACCGTATCGACGTCCCGGAAGGTCGAAGTCTGTTTCGGTGGGGACGTGTGTTACCACCATCACGGCCGCATAGTTGTCCTCATTCGTTCACTTGAACGCCTTCTCCACGGTTACCTTGGTCTTCGGATTTTCGCCTAGGTGATTTCTTCTTGCGCCAGCGTAGGGGCATACCGATCGGAGGGGGGCCGCTGTCCGGCCACACGCTCGAAATCGGATTCACCCGGAAAGAGCATGACGCGACGGAGCGTTGGAAGCAGAGGCCTCGGCACATCGCATGCGGTCGATACGCTGACGACTTGGCTTGCTTGAGCTATACCTACTGCCGCCGCTGCGTCCATCAATATGTAGATGGGGTGTACGGCGACACCACTGCCTTCCAAGTCGACGACGGCTTCACGGTCCTCCACGGCTACACGGTCGTGCAAAAGTATTTGGACGTCTACTTGCACTTTTCCTTAAACGGTCTCACCGTGGAGTTCGTGCACAAAAACGAACGGTTTGCATTCACAGGGGACCCCGTCGCGTTGTCCAAAAAGTCTCTCCAGCCATTTGCCGGTAATTTTGGAAACCCTGTGCTCCAAAAACACCGTGCTGAACTTATCGGACGTTTGCGGAGATGGCGGTGCTTAAAAATCACCAGGACGAATTTCCTCATGGTCGTCGTAACTGATATGCTGTATTATTTAAGAATGGGATATTGTTATTCACACATCAAAAGGTTTTGGAAATCTGTACTACTGGACACGACTGAAAATATTATTGTACGTGAGTCTTTCTATTTATTGAAGCTGTGTTGTGGTTTTACTGCATATTCTAACCCATCATCGTCACTTTCATCATTTCACAACATGTGCACATCTACTCTCGAGCTTTTTGAGGAAGGAGAGCCCGGTACACGCGCGCACGCCCATCAAGTCGGAAGTGCGCCAGGGATGCACTCTCAGTGGACTGTCGGAGGCAAGGGCAAGGGCAAGCCCAACATCCATGCGCCTCGCTACCAACCTCCGCACTTCTCGGGCGGAGCCGGTGGCATTGCAGGCCTGACTGACACGTTCACGTCGTGCATGGAGCAGGTGAAGGCCCTATGGCAAATGGCAGCCATGGGAGCGGCCTTGAACAACAGTGCCAGCTCGGGCCAGGCCATTGCCGTGCAGCCCCAGCCGCAGGAGCCTCCCTCGAGCAGCCCTGCCGGGGAGCTTGCCAGCGCCTTGGTGGCCGTCCTGCAGCAGGGCAGAAGCGCACAGCTAACCCAGACAGCAGGGTGACGCACTCGGTCAACAGGCTCTCGGAAGTGACCGGGCAAAGGGAAGCAGACCAATCGTTCGAGACACAGCTTGAAAGCAGCAGTGCGTTCAAGCGACTCCGGGCTGACCTGACAGCCATGGGCTCCGAGGTGGCATCGCAGAAGGGAGAGATCCACGCCATCAGGAGTACTGTGGACAGCACCGCCCAGGACATCGGAGACATGAGGTCCATGCTTGCCCAGAGCTTGGGGCGCCAGCAGACGCCGCCTGTTGAGGAGGACTCGCCGTTCTTCCGCGCCACCCTCACCGCTGATATGCACGACCGCTTCATTCGCTGCTTCGGCATCAGCACGGCCCGCGCGGACATGAAACAGCTCAAGACCGATGTCCAGGGCAGGAGCATCGGCTACACCGAGTGGTGGTCGCGCGCTGGAGGATGTAAGTCGGTGGCCCAGTGGGGAGCGAAGATCACGCAGTTGCCGGGAGGTGACGATGTTGACAAGCAGTCGATGCTTGCCGACAAGGTGGCGATTGGCAACTACCTCTTCTCACACCTGCAGGCCAACGGAGAGATCTCACCGAACGAGCTCCAGGCACACCCATGAGGCACTGCGGCGAAGGCGGAGGCCAGAGCTACGGCAAGCACAATCCAACGCCACATGGCCTTGAGTGTTAGCATCTGTGGGTGTGTCAGATTAGCTCTCTTGTTCAGTGTGGTTTGGATGTTCGTGCAGTTTCTCATCCTAGCGGTTGCCACCCGGAATGGCATCGAGGCTAGCGCCGCCATCGTCAGGGACCGGCTCGTCGGCATCCTACCATCTTATGCAGCGTGCAAGATGCTCAATTGGTGGTGGGGGGCTGGCTGGCTTGACGCGGCTGGCGCCTCCAATGCATTACAGGATGATGCCTTCAGCAGCTTGGGAGGACGAGGAGATCCCGGTATACATCCAGGATCTTTTGGACCATCCCCAAACCCTCAGATCCCATCTCTCTCACTTCAGTCTGATATGTCCCACCAACTCATCAGCTTCGGCATCACTGCGCTGATCGGGTGGGTACGCAGACGTTGAAAAGAAAACCAGCGTGTTCACAGAGATTGCTTGGTGCACCGCACGCGGATGACTCATGCGAGGAATGCTTGGCGGAACCAGCACATCGATGACACGCGGCCCTCTGACTTGAAGCATGTGTGCATAACGTGATTGCCCCCATTTTATACGGGTGGTTCGGGTGCAGTTGTGCGGTGCGTCTCCGGAGGGAGGTCTTGCACTGAAGCGGTTGCGTGCTAGGGTCCGGCATGCGCCCGCATCTTGCAGAGATCAGTCATGACTTTCCAGCGTTTGTGTCTCTTCCCCTTCCTTGTTTCCCCTTCCTTCTGCCCCTGCCCCCGCCCTGAGCCTCGTGTTGCATGACTTCTGTATGCTATTGCTGTGCTTGTGTATGCTTCTTCCGCTGCTGTTTTCTGCGCCATCGCAGTGCAACGTTCCCCAAGACATATTGTCAACCGGAGCCGCACCATGTCCATAGCAGCAGGTGCTCAAATCGCGAGTGCGGGCCTGAACGTTCGCAGCTGGATGTAAAAATGTCGTCCCGCTCTGCACGGGCAGCGGGAGAGAGCAGGCATGACGGCATCATCAGCAGTGTTATGCATGCTTATCTACCCACGTACTTGTCGGGGGGGGAGGGGGGCATTAAAGTATGTTGCGTAATCGAGTGGGCACGCGCACGCGAGTGCCCGGGGCGGGGCGGGTCGGGCGGGCGGGCCTGACGGGGGGTCGGGTCGGGCGGGCGGACCTGACGGCCGGGTCGGGTCGGGCGGGCGGGGCGTTAAAGTATGTTGCGTAATCGAGTGGGCACGCGAGTGCCCTAACGGGCGGGGGGGTCGGGTCGGGGGCGGACCCTAGCGGGCGGGCCTGGTCGGGCGGGCGGGACATTAAAGTATGTTGCGTAGTCGAATGGGGCACGCGAGAACCCTAGCGGGCGGGGCGGGGCGGGTCGGGCGGGCGGACCGTGACGGGCGGATCGGGTCGGGCGGGCGTGCCCTATGGGCGGGTCGGGTCGGGCGGGCGAGACATTAAAGTATGTTGCGTAAACGAGTGGGCTCGCGAGTGGCACGGGCGGAGACCATGGCGGGCGGGTCGGGTCGGGCGGGCGGAACCTAGCGGGCGGGTCGGTCGGGCGGGCGGGCGCGATCGCGTGGGCACGGGGTAGTCGGGCGGTCGGGAGGGCGGGCCCTAAGCGGGTCGGGTCGGGCGCGCGCGAGTGCCTAACGGGCGGGCGGGTCGGGTCGGGCGGGCGGTCGGGTCGGGCGGGCGGACCCTGACGGCCGGGTCGGGTCGGGCGGGCGGGGCGTTAAAGTATGTTGCGTAATCGAGTGGGCACGCGAGTGCCCTAACGGGCGGGGCGGGTCGGGTCGGGCGGGCGGACCCTAACGGGCGGGTCGGGTCGGGCGGGCGGACCCTAGCGGGCGGGTCGGGTCGGGCGGGGGGGACATTAAAAGTATGTTGCGTAATCGAGTAGGCGCGCGAGTGCCCCAACGGGCGGGCCGCCTGGTTCCGACCTGGCCGCCCGCCGCCCGCCGCCCGGCCGCCCGGCCGCCCGGCCGCCCGCCGCCCGCCGCCCGCCGCCTGCCGCCCGGTTCCGACCCGCCCGGTTCCGCCCCGCCCAGTTCCGACCCGCCCGGTTCGGACCCGCCTATAGAGAGCGCTGCCACGTGGGACATCGTGACGGCGGAACAGGGCCGGACGGGACAGGGCCAGCGGAACAAGGCCGGCGGAACAGGGCCGGTCGGAACAGGGCCGGTCGGAACAGGGCCGGTCGGAACAGGGCCGGTCGGAACAGGGCCTGGTCGGAACAGGGCCGGCCGGAACAGGGCCGGCGGAACAGGGCCTGGTCGGAACAGGGCCGGTTCCCTCAACCCCGCGCGCCGGCACTTCCCCCCCCGCCCCTCCTCGCCCCCCCCGCCAAGCTGCGCTCTACTTCCATTGGGCATGCCCCTGCCTCGCTCTGGCAGCAGCCTCCTGCGCCCCCCCCCCGCCATTGATTCCTTGCCCCACCCCTCCCTTCCACGCCCCACCCCTCGTCGGCCATCGGCCAACCGCGCCGCCCTCCCGCCGATTAAATGCACGAGCGCGGGGCCGTTGCGCGACGCCGGCAAAGACCCGCTGCCAGCGAATTCACGGCCGGCGCGGCTCTATCGGCGAGCAGGGCGGCCCGGGCATCCACAACAGCCTGGATGTAGCGCGCGCCTCGTTGGACCTCCAACGTAGTTCCTGCGTTTTGCCGGCCGTCAGAGAGCTGGAGAGAAGACGCCCTCCTGGAGCGGCTGCAGGGCGTGCGTGGGAAGTGGATGGGCGCACGCGTGAAGGCTGCTCTCGACAATGCGGCCGCGCCCTTGGCTGGCGCACTTCGCCCATCCCGTTTGTCTGCGCGCTGCAAAATGTTTTTTCTCCCTACCCATTCTCACGAGGCCAGGGGGGGGGGCTGGCAGCCCCCCCCCCTGGCCCTGGCCCCGCCCCCCTGCCCATTCCTCGCCCCCCGCCCTGGGACATCCGTCGCGCCCGATTGCCCGTTGCCCCGCCATCTCCTTGCAAAGTCGACCCGTCCATCTTCTATGATGTTTGGTAAAACTGATGGATCTCCCCGCTTCCAGAACTGGCGCGGGCTTCCACTTGCGGTTCCCTTGCTCCTGCCCTTGCCTCTTTGCTTGCCCTTTCTCTCTCCCTCTCTCTTCACCGCCGCTTCGCGGCTCAAGCCTTTTCAAGGCCAAGCTGGGGGTCGGCCTCAGGTGGCCTAAGGCCGGGCCCCGAGACCGGGGCCGGAAGACCTTCGCCCAAGTTCGGGCACGAAGGGGGCGCCCGCAGCCATGGAGCTGCGCCTGGCGCCGCGCGGCCGAGACGCGCAGCTGCGCGGCGGCGGAGAGCCCGGGTGCCGAGCGGCACTGGCTCACGCTAGCCGCGGAGCACCCGGGGGCGGAGGGGCGGCACACGTGACGTGGGCGCGGCCCGCCGCCGCCGAGCAGGCAGCCGGGCGCGCGTCAGCGCCGGCTCCAGCTCAGGCCCAGGCGAGGGCGGCGAAGCGTGCACGCGCGCTGGGGCCCGCCTGGAGGAGCTGCCCCGGAGCCCCAGCGCCGCCGCACGTCGGCAGGCGCCCAGGCTGGGCTGCAGTTCCGTTCGTCGTCTTCCTGGAGATGGTGGGGGTGGCCGGCGCCGAGCTCGTGCACGGGCAGGCGGCCCCCAACTCCGAGGTCTACTACGACGACGAGGTGAGCGTGGACATGAAGGGGTTCTGGCTCGACGGGCCCATGGACTCCTCCGCGCGCGTGGACGCGCTGCCGGTCGGGGTTCACTCCATCGGCGGGCGTGCCGCTCCAGCAGGGAGCGGTGGAAGGGGGCCCGCCGCGCGCGCGCTCTGCGCCGCCGGCCGGCCCACCCCCCCAGGACCCGGCCCGCGCACCCCCCGACCCCCCCGATGGGGACCCATCGTCCTGGATCAGGGGTTGGGGTCTTTTCGGCATCAGCTGGAAAGACATCGGCAACCGCACGCACTGGTTCGCCGAGGGGATGGGTGGGGGTACCTTCCGGGCTGTGGGGAGTTTCAGGTCGGCCTTCTCGACTCGCGAGGCAGGAGGCTGGCTGAGCTCCGACGGCGGCTGGGTGCTGTACATGGCTGACCAGATGGGCCTCTCCCTGTTCGGCTCCGCGTGGCCGCTGATTGCTGGGCTCGTGGTTGTCCTCGCCGGCACTGGTGTGGTCGCGCTCTTGGCCCACAGTCTGAGGGCGCTCTTCGCACCCTGCAGCTGGGCGGCCTGGACCTGTGGCCTGGTGCTGGCGTGCTGCCCCTGCCCGAGGCGCCGGGCGCCTGGCGAGGCTAAGCTTGACAAGCTGGTCCCGCCGGCGGC